TCTTATTATGTGAGGAAAAAATACACTATTTGTTTAAGCCACTGAGAGTCAGGTGTTTGTTACTTACAGCCGCGCATACCACCGATGGCTTGCTTATTCAGGAGAAAATGGGAAGAGGCAGGAGAATAAATAGAAAGGGTGTATACCGTGCACCGCTGTGCAGAGAAAGCAATCCCGTAACAAAATGTCCATTAAAAACGTGGGCGAAATGGCATTTTTAACGATACCGAAGATGTAACAAGTTTCATTAACAAAAGTTAAAATAAAGAACCCCTGCAACAGTAAGCATTCTATCGTGATTTAAGACCTAAAAAGGTCAAGACATCCTCTAATCAGATGGGTTTAAATGGAAACATCATCTCTGGGTGTTCTGCCAAGAGTGTATATTATTGCCAAATTCCTAATTCAAAACCATATATAAGAATGCTTTATCTGAAACACTGAAGTTAAAAATAAGACATTCAAATAGTAATCTCCCTTCTCTCTCAAAAGATATATGTGCCCATTAACCCTGGATGCTAACAGGAAGATTTCTTACACTCTATTTGACCATTTTTTTCAAGACATTCACAAGGAAATCAGTACAGAAAAAAATAATTTAGGAAGTTGGCTCCTGATCAGCTACTTCACTGAATTAAAGTGCAATGAGGTTCATAACTTTTATAAAAATATTAAACGTTTGTATTAAATACCTGTGTGTGAGGTACAGGGCAAACACGTGCGTGGGATGGGAGCCAGTGGGGCCCAAAGATACACAGCACACAGCACCTGCTCTAGTGGAGTTAATCATCTAGTTAGCGCAGTAAGAGAGCAATGCGGAAAGTTAAAGGAAGTGTTTCAATAACAGTTCTAGACAGTGGAAGAGATGTCATAAAGCAGTGCATGATTCATTGCCAAAAAGATCGTTGCTGACAATAACTGCTGCAGGATTTCAAAGAAAAAGGTCATTTTGAGCTGAGAAAGGCCTGGGGAGACTTTACAGAGAAGGAAGGATCCAGCTCACTCCGAGAGATGTAGAGGAGCGGTGGGCAAAGGAAACACATCTTGGAAAGGCTGTTTTGTTTTTTAAATGTACGTATATACACATATACATGCACATATATATACACACATATACACATATATATACATAAACTCCTCCATCCAGGATGTTCAGGTGACTAGTGTAGGAAGGAAGGCACTCAGGGGCCCAAGTGGATGATGCCAGGTTGTAAAGAAACACTGGGACATTCAAGAGAAAATTTGGCCAAAAGCTGGAAAAAGTCCAAGTGTCCACCAACAAATGAATGGATAAACCAAATATGGTATACAGTGGAATATTACTCAGCCTTCAAAAGGAAAGTTCTGGCACATGCTACAACGTGGATGAACCCTGGAGGCATTACTGGCTAAGTGAAATAAGCCAGTCACAAAGAGAAAATTCTATATGATTCCACTTTTATGATGTACCTAAGGTAGTTGAATTCAGAGACAGAAAGCAGAATGATGGTTGCCAGGGGCTGAGAGGAAGGGGGAATGGGGAGTTAGCTCCTAATGGGGACAGAACTTCAATGTTGCAAGATGAAACGAATTCTGGAGATGGATGGTGGTGATGGTCGCAAGATATGAATGTACTTAATACCACTGAAGATGATAACGTTTACGTGCATTATACCACATTAAAAAGTATATTAAAAACAGAGAGAGAGTGGGGCGCCTGGGTGGCTCAGTCGGTTAAGCATCTGCCTTTGGCTCAGGTCGTGATCCCAGGGTCCTGGGATCGAGCCCCGCATCGGGCTCCCTGCTCAGCGGGAAGCCTGCTTCTCCCTCTCCCGCTTGCCCTGCTTGTGCTCTCTCTCTCTCTCTCTGTCAAATAAAGAAATAAAATCTTAAAAAAACAAAAAAAAAAAACACAGAGGTTCAGGGAGCGCAGGGTGGGAGAGAAGAGATTTAGCAGTTGGCTACAACAAACAGGGGCAGCACCTTTTCCTAGGCTCCAGGCCTGTGAGCCCCATGGGCTCCACCTAGGAATTCCACCACTGAGTGGTGAGCACGTGGTATAGAGAACCCCTCCCCCCATTTTCTTTGGAAATACTAAACTCAATTTAACAAAAGACCTTTAAAATCTTTTAAAATCTCTGACCCTGGAAATGGAGTAAGAGCCGGACACCTGCAGACATTCACTTCTGCCCCCTGTCTGTTTCCCACTGGCCTTATTCAGAGGATGTGGACACTAAAAGTAGACAACTCAACCCCAGAGAAAGTGCACAGGAACATGGGCAGTGTTTTCTCTAGCTTAGCAAAGAGGTAGCCAGAGCCAGCTCGGCAAGATGGCGCCATCTGCATCGTTGCACTGGTCGGGCTATTGGCCTGGCCAGGCTCCCGAGCGGCTCCTCGGTGAGGGCAAAGTCCTGTGTTTGAGAACCACCACATGACAAACCCGACTGGCTGGAAGTTGGACTGACCTTGGGCACCTCTCTGTCTTCTTGTGGATCCATCTCATCAAACAGCATAATGAAGATGTTTAGAGTATATAAGAAGAAATGGGTTGGAACAAACTTTGGAAATACTAATACAGTATGTTCCATCAAGTGATGATAGCAGTTCCTTTGGATTTACCAATATGTTGAGTTAAATGAGAAAGGAAAAAATTGTATGTGAATGTATGTCAGGTCAGCATTTGTGTTTCTCATCATTACATGAAAAAATCAAAATAGTTCTGTGTTCTTCAGATTATGTATACTGTGACAAGGTGTAGAAAATGTCAATTCTAAGGCTCATTATGAGAAATATTTCAATGTGGAAGTTACCGTCTGGTAACAGGGTCAGTCGTAATTAAGGACACATTGATAAGAAAACTTGTTTAGGAGACAGATTTTTTTTTCAATCACTGCTTAAGGATTTACTCCTTATATCAACTCTTAATTTCTAATCAAAATAGTCTTTGGTGGATTAGGGTGTAGAACTACTTTATTACTCAAAATAAAAATGAGCTCAAATACTGTTTTCTTCTAGAGGTGCCATTTTGGTAAGTCAGAAAGTAATGATGAATCCAATTATCAGACCAAAAAAAAAAAAGTTGGCAAAGTTGAGCTTCATCAAATGAACGATTCTATTACCTAGCCATCGAGGTCACCTTTAACTGAAAACTAGGAACCACCAGGGAATCCACCTGATGCACAGCAGACATTCAATAACTATTTGGAGATGCATATACTCTCATGGTGAAATGGCTTTAGACCCCTCCAATAGTTAGAAAGGAAAAATTGGGCTAGCTCTAGGTCTTTTCAGAATTCATGGGCACCCATCAATTGGTCTAAATGTGACAAGCTTTTTCCTGTAAGTGTGATCCTGGATCCAAAAAGCCCCGGGCCCCGGGATATTGTGCCTGCCTCTGCCAATGATGATCTGTAATTCAACTCATCAGGGGTCACTGGCTGCTGGAGCTCCAGGCCTCACACTGAGTCTTAGGCAAGGCCTCCCGGCCCATGACTTGCTGAAACCGCCATTTCTTTAAGTGGCCTTACTTTAAAGAACAGAAATGACTGAACTATGAATATTAAAACTTCTTACCAGTGTCACAAATAGGAGAACTACCTCCTCTGCATCCTTGGGTCCTTCTGCAACAATCCATTCTTCGACCTAAATAATTTTAATCCTCAGGTGGGTATGGACATCGGAAGATCAGAAATTATGCCTGGCCCATGGGAAGTTTAGATCACTGGTCATCCAAGCCTATATTTTTATTCAAGCTCTTCTCAATTTTTCTTTATACGCTTGTTCCTTTATTTTCTTCATTTGTAATTTAGGAAAAGATGGCTAATACATGGGTCTTGTTGGGCTTCAGAAGTCTTTAAGGACAGACTTGTAAAAAAAAAAAAGAAGAAGAAAAGCATGAAATGTGTCAGGGAAATGGAGTTCCTATCATTTCACTCACAAATTTTGCCTTTTAAATGTAGTTCTCCTGCCAACCGTTCGGTGAAAGATGGTTTCCTTATTGTTATTTATTAGCTGTGACAGGTAGCAACACTATTCTCAGATAGAGTCTCCCTTTGCCACAATTATCTACTAATGCCTGCGAGGCAGAAGACTGCTCAAAACCCCTTCCTTCTGGAATGCTTTTCCCAAAGGCAACAGCTCAAAGCAAACCTCTATTAACTGGAACACTGACATCTGCAGAATTCTCTGGACAGGAAGATCCCACCACTCCTGCAGTGATAGCAGAAACCAAGACATAATTACTTACACTCCCGTCACCAGGAAATCAAGTTCAGCAACCGTTCTGTGTGTGGAAGCCTTATCTACCCACACCGAGAGAATCACCACTCCATAAACAACCCAACCACAGACTGTTGGTGGATGTATTTCCTTCTGAGCAAGGATCTGTCCTTAAACATCTCCCAACAGGGAAAAAAAAATAACTTTTTTTTCCCACTAAAATTCCATGTAACCAATGGGACACAATGTAAGATAGTACGAACATGAACTAAATTAGATGCCCTCCTGGCTTATTAGCCCCTAGACATACTTACGAATGTGACATAAAAATTACACACTCCTCGCAACAGGGCTCATGACTCGTAATGTGCAGCCACATAAAAATCTAATATATTTTCTATCTTTAAGTATCTTTACTGATTTCTTTCTTCTATGTACCTTTTGTTTTATGCATTTTAGAGCTGGGGACAAGTGGCTGGGGGGAGAGAAGAGACCCAAAAAAAAAGAGAGAGAGAGAGATTTAGAAAGAGAATAAGGCGACAGAAGTGTCACAGGAGGGGGAAGCCTGGGACCCATCAGAGGGCCGGGATGACCCATCAGATGGCCCGCACGTGAGACTTCCTTAACACCTTCAACCCGGTCCATAAACACGCATCGCCCCCCATCAACCCCGGGGAAAGCACCCAGCACCCATCCCTCAAACTGTTCTCTGAGCATGAAACATATGTGACGTGTTCCACAGACCACACAGAAATGACAGAAACGGAGAGCTAAGCATACAATGAAAACATAAAAACTGAACATACTTCCGTGTGGTAGATTTTAATAAGATTGGTAAGGAGCCAAATTACAAAACGCCCTAGAATACGGAGTACAAAACCTCAGAGACAAAATAAAAGCTCATGAAAACATAAGAGCACTTGAGAACGGTAATAATCTTTAGGATAAAGAACCCACTTTCTCAACAAAGCTACTGAGCACGTTTAATAAAAATTAAGGGAGATTAAAGACGAGGCGCATCGAGCCACATCCCCGAGCCGCAGTGACTGGGAAGGCGAGCTCTGTGCTGCTGAAGACACGGCGCCAGGAGCACAGATGAGCTCCCGTTACCAACAGACCTGGAATAAACCACCGCGAGGCAGGCTGAACTTCTCACATCTCACTTACAGGGTAGGAATTAATCGACTCCCTGGTTGAGCGGCCTTGGACATGCACCGTGTGGGCACGCGGAGGAGCAGTGACTCTTCCACGTGGTAGAAGGGGCAGGTGCACGCGCCACCGCCATCCACACGACCCTGCTGCCCCAGCAGCCATGGTCTTGGGGGCGACGAGGGGAGACAGGCTGTCTCCGCCGGGAACAACTCATTATTCAGATAAAGTAACGTAAGAGCTCCACGTGGGGCACAAACCAACGGGGGTCCCCACTTCCGGAAGCAGAAAGTGCCACCACCCCTGTAGGCAGCAGGACAGCAGAAGGAGAGAAAGTGCTCCGGGCTCAGTGGTGCTCATCATTCCTCAGGAAAGCTGTGCCATCCTGTCTAGGATTTTGGGGTGGGTCGGTGGCGGTTTCCCTCCACGCCCTAAAGCCAATACGTCTGCATTTGCACCTGTCATGGGGGTCCTATTTTTTTTCCCCAAGGGCACTACATGTTATGCTTCACTTGGGCCGGATGTTCAAATCAGTGCATCTGTTCATCCTGCCAGGAGCACAGCAACAATTATTTATTTGTCCTTCCAGCACCTTAGCAGCGAGGAGCAGCCGTTTCACGCTGCCAGCGTCCCAGCAAACCAGGACACACGCCAGCCCCGTGCGACAGGCCATCTACAGGCTCCTTGATTTTAAACCCTAAATCAGTAGTTTAAACAGATGCACATTCCATGTGACAAGAGAGACAGTCGGGAAGATTTGAGGCTCTACATTCTTTAGATGTCTACTTTTGCTGGACTGGCTATTGAAAAGTTATGTGTAACTTCAAGATGAAAGGCATTAGCAGCTTCTTAGAAGAGGATAATCCCAATCTTTTGGAGTTGTAATGAGATGTAACTCACTGAAGCTTCTGGCTCGGTTTGCTGTTAATTGAATCAAAGTCAATGACAATCGTGCTGCACTTTGGTGTGAATTTCCTAAACACAAGAAACAAAAGGTATCAAGATATTATCCAGCGAGTAGTTAAAGCAATTTGTTTACTTTGGCTTAACCTACACTTTCTGTGGGCGAGGAAAAAAATTTCCGGGGAGGCGCTTGGTATCTTATCTCTAAAGGAGCCAATTACAGTGCACCATACCGAGAGGAACATGAACCAGAAAGGACTAAGACAAAAAAAAGATGCATGGGGTGGCTCGGTCTGTATGTTCTCCAGCTAGCTGAGGGCATGAATTATCAGGGAGTCAAAGGATTTCTAACAAGTTCGCTGCACAACATGACACCCGATTTCTAGTTTTCCCAACAGATTTATCTTCCTTCTTAGGATATTTCTGCAGCCAACCTGGAATCGCTCGAAAGCAAAAAAGGGTAAATCTTCTTTTGCCTCTTGTACACACAGCAAGAAAAAAAAAGCAACCAACTAGCTTTAGTGAGGAGTAATTTTTAAAGTCCCGTTCTAAAAATGCAGATGTAAAATAAACCCACCATGTAGTTTTACTCATTAGTGTACCTTCTAAAACAGTTCAAAGGAAAATATTTGGGGACTAATCGTATTCTTTTAAAACCAGTAAACGGTTAATATCTAATTACTATTATTAGGTAAATAATCTGGATTTAAAGTCTCATAAGGCACAACAGTTCAAGAGATTCATTACGTATAACCTCTATCCCCAGTGATGAACACAAGGGGTTAGGTACATTACTAATTACAGAACCCCACTGCTGACCACAGATACGGTAAAGGAATTGCTTTGAAAGCTTTCAGTCCCAAATGAAGTTTCCACCATGAATCGAAGGTGGTTGAACCTGCCTGCAAGTAAAGCATACCTCCCAATCTTTGCCTAGCACAGATAATCATAAAAGTCAAAATGACTTCAAATCTCAATTTAAAATGTTGCTATCAGAAGAATTCCTGGTGTTTCAACCTAGCAGGTTACTTTCATCCCAAATTTTCGATGCCAGAATTGTTACATTTGCAAAATTTACAAAGGTTTAATGTTAATATTACGAAACTTGTGATTTTTACAATGTCTCGCTACTGGAGTAATTTAGTCCAAGCCCCAGAAAGCTCCTAATATTTAAGTGCAGGATCATCAGTCCGATTGTCTTCAGATACTTCTGTCACTGCTCTTAAAAATCCACCCCCCACATCATCTTGAGATCCTCAGCCCATCACATTTAAAAAGATGCTTCCGAGTGTGGAAGTCAGGCATCACAAGCAGAAATTAAACGTCAGCCAAGGTCAAATACGTTTCTTCATTCGGCCTTCCACCCCCTTGCCCCCAAGCTCTTCCCGCTTACCTGAAGGCCACCCCAGCCATATCAAACAGGCGCCTCGCGGCCGTCATCTCATCACTATCATGGTATTTATCAGATATGAAAATAACTTCTTTTATACCTTCAAAGGCAACAACAGAAGAAGCCCCCTTAGTATATACACATAACGCAGGGGCAGATGGCGCCCCGTAGTGTCCGTGATGAATCACCATTCCCAGGCGGGCTTGCCCACAATGTCCACTTACTGAAATACACATCTACCCCGTTCCAGTACAGCAGACAATGGATTATATTTAATCTGCCCTCCAGTCTTTATGGATTTTTCTTTTTTTTAACAAATGCAAAGTGAAAACATGTCAGGTAGTCAAGCCTTGATCTGATTAACAAATTTTCTTTACTGCGGGCAATCAAATTTCTTTAATCACAAGGCGACTACTCTTAACACAAGAGGCTGATGGTTGCGAGGGGTGGGGGAGGCGGGTGGTGCGGGGGAAGTGCCACCAGGCTTCCAAAAATGGCTCCAAGAACTGATTCCAGCCAGCTCCACCAACAGCAGATCTGTTTTCTTTTCCTGTCCCCCAGGGCAGTGCTAACTGGAGGGTCAAGAGTCTGGGGGGCATTTGAGACACCACCCTGCTCCTCCACCAGCCTCCGAAGGGACTACGTGCTGGGTAAGGAAAACTCCCGGAGGGTCACGCACCACCAGGGAGGGAGCCCACGACATCCTTTACCAGGGGCCGGCCTCTGATTCTGATACCACCGGATCTCTTTTCAGAGACCCATGGGCTCGTGATAAACAGCCCCTTTAAACCACACATCTGGCTAACATGATAAGTCTTTAAATCTCAAGCTGAGAGTTTTATGGCGACATAGTGTAGCCGAATCTCAGATGTGACAGTATGAAAAAGGTGAAATATTCAGAATACAATGGTGTAGATTTATGGGAACTGTAATGTAAGGAAAACTTAACAGTAGTACCATTCGAGTCTGATGACATTTATATGCAAAGATATGTTTAGGTCCTAAAACATCTACCATATATTAATACAAATTAAAATTTCATATACAGACTCCCAGCTGACCTTGCTTCTGACAGAAGTTCATTTCTCTCCCTCCCCCTAATCTATGCACATGTCAGAGAACAGTAAATTGGCAGTAATTATATGCAATGCCTGTGTTGTTTTTTGGCAGCTTGCAGTTTAAGAAGTTGCAAACTAAATTAAAAACATGCTAAGAATCACAAAGGATGCAATTAGTCTTAGAATACCTGGCACCATTCAAAAACAAAACACAGGAAATACCTTGCAAAGTTGATAGTGCAATTAATTTTGATCTAAACAATAGCAATTTCAGATCAAGCGCTTCTGCAATGAGCTGCTGATGAGCAGGCAACAATGCAAATGTGACAAATGGAATGGGCCCAGCTCCTACCTGCCTGGATGATGAGCTTCGCACATTCATTACACGGGAACAAGGCGACATACATTGTGCAGCCTTTCACATCGGCTGAGTTTTTGTTCATGATGGCATTCAGCTCGGCATGGCACACTGTGGGTTTGAAAGACAAGGAAAGAAAAACTTTCATCGCGACTCATGAGGAATCTACTAACGCTGCTAAAGCATTCCACTCGCCCCTTTGAAAAAACATATATAACAGACTTGATTTCTTAAAAATTGATTAGAAACGGAAAGTACTGAGAATACCAAATGAGGGCCACGTGGTCCGACAGGTTGGCGATTAGCAGCAAAACCATTCGCCGTTGCGGCCTTGGGTCTGTAAGCGCCTCGAGCAGCCAGGAGAGGCCAAGGTCAAGTATCTTCATCCACCCTCAGCACAGCAATAGCTCACGGCTCCACAAGACCCTGGGGTATGGGACTGCGCACATAAAATGGCTCATTTGTGTGTTGATATGCACATGCAGGGATATTTGCTGCGACCGTGAAGAGGGCAGGGTGCAATTTTAAGAGCAAGAGAATCAGGAAGTGAAGCTGAGCATTTCTATCCCGACGGATTTCCTTCACCTCACGGCTCTCAGCCCCCATACACACGAGAAAGATGCTGGCAGATAACCAGTGGTTTGACTTACGTTAGAAAAGCCTTCATCCACTTAATGAAAAGTTAAGTTCTTGCTATTATGGCCCATTCCACCAACGATCCCCAAACAGTGATCCAAGGTCATTTGCAGACCTGCCTGAATTCAGAGTTAGAGAGAGCACCCTCCTCTCTTCTCCCGCCAACCTGTAAACCCAGCCGTCTCCGCAGGCGTTGGCGAGGTGTCCCACCATCTAACCCACAAGGGCGCTCCTCCTCTCTAGGAAGCAGTCCTCACCCCTCTGATTGAGTTGAGAATCCCCTACCTGCGCCGTGAGGTCACCCTATTGCTCTTATATTGTTATTTAAGTTTCTGGGTGTGTTGCTAAAACTCTATTATCATCTCCCTGGGGCAGTGATTTGCAAACCGGTCTGCACTCATCTGGGGTGCGGCCTGGGATTAAGAGACTCCCGGCCTGATTCTAACGAGCAGACGCCTTGCAGAAACACTGTGTTGCAGAATCCTCTGGTAACTCCTAGGAGACCTAACACATACGAAGCACACAAGTGCTAAAGTAAATGTTTGTTGAACAAATTAATGACAATCTGGCCATGGTCCAAATCACACAAAACTGCCGGAATTATAAATATGGGGGCCCTCAAGGGGGCCCCCACCCCCTGCCCTCTCCAACTCACCAAACTTCTGCACTGAACACCTTCTTCTGGGAGCATGGGAGCCTTAAATGAAGAGTAGCCTACACTCAGAGTCTTGGACATTTTAGCCCTGACTACTCACTTAGTCAATGAGCCTTTTTTTAAGATCACAGCCCATCGGAAATTAATCCCCCGCCGGCCGGCCACAGAAGGACCTGAGCCACTCTCCCGGGGACGACAGGAGAGAGAAGAAAGTCTCCCTGGCTCAGTGGCCTTGAGGACACTGGCCTCAGAGAAGCCCCTTCTGCCCCATCTACTTCCCTGGTGACCAAGATGTTCCCAAGCAGGGATTAACACTGCTCGGTGTTAAAAAACAATTAGATGTAATTGTTTCTTTTATTTCCCCCTTGAGGGCAGAGACCGGTCTTCGAGGTTCTTTCTAACTCCCCCAGAGTCTAATGTGATGCCAGGAACATAATGGGTGTTAAATATTTATTAAATGAATAAAGGAGGAAATGCAGATTCCAATTATTGATGGTGATGTTGGGAAATACAGAAAGTCCTCTTAAATTCAAATAGCAAGAAGATGCTTTCCCATCTAATAAATATTTTTGGATGGTGTTGGTATTAATCTTCAGAACTACAGTTTCTGAGTCTGTGCGGAAACACTGTCAATAACCGTCTTCTTCTGAATCTCTAAAAAACGGTCACATTGACTGCAACCGTCTTCCTATTCATCGGAGGCAGTTTGGGGATAAAACTGAACATTGTATGGTCTGGATTCATTAATGAAAATTACCACATGAAACAGATTCTCGTGAGCTGCATCCAATATCCCCGTATAAAGGGTGGCTGATAGAAATAATACTTGGGGTCATCAACAGAATTCCCTTCTCTTAGCTACAAAATCACGGGAAGAAAAATACAAAGCTTCTTGTTAGAAACATGAGGTCTACTGGGCTGTATGAACAACTGAGTGTTGGGCACGCAGGAGACCCTATTTTTTGTTTGCTTTTTTAAAGATTTTTTTTTATTTATTTGAGAGAGAGAATGAGAGAGAGAGAGAGAGAGCACATTGGAGGGGGGAGGGTCAGAGGAGAAGCAGACTCCCTGCTGAGCAGGGAGCCCGATGCAGGACTCGATCCAGGGACTCCAGGATCATGACCTGAGCTGAAGGCAGTCGCTTAACCAACTGAGCCACCCAGGCGCCCCTGTTTGGTTTTTTTCAAGTTTTAAGTTTTTCCTTTTGATCTTTATTTTTTTATTTAAATTCAATTAATTAACAAACAGTGTATTCAAGGCCCAGTTGCCACTTAAAGCTGTGTGACCCTTGACAAGTCGTGTCCTTCGGGTGGGCAGGAAGAAGAGACTCTGAGAAAGTGCATTTCCAGCTAACAACATAAAAGTGAGTTTTGAAATACCAAGTAATCTGATTTCTAGCTTTTTCCTATTGTGTGTCCAGTTTCCTCCCACCTTCCTCTAGAACAGCGGAATCTTTTCCAAGACAGGCTCTCGACAGCAAATCATGAGCCTTCTCTCCCAAGGCCAAGGGCAAGTGGAAGCCTTGGCCCAGCTCCCCCAGGGGGCACCAGCTCCCCCCAACTCAGGTTTTCTCCATTCTGTGTGTCCTTGGTCTCAACTCTCAAGAGGCCATCTTCTCAGCATTTCAGATCTCTTTCCTTCTTCCTTTTGAGATGAAATTGTCCTGCCTACAACTGCAAGACTTATTTTTTAAATAATCATCTCTTGACTTCATCACGCATATACAACCTCTAGTTTTTGCTAAACCAATACTTTCCAAACTGTAGGTCAAGAAATCAGTTTAGTGAGTTACAAACAGCTTTCCCCCCCTTTTCAATGGAATAGATGAAAAGAGAAGAGATCAGAATGCGTCCCACATGGCAAAGGTTAAGTGCCGTTTCTAAAAACTATCTGAGGTGTGTGTGTGTGTGTGTGTGTGTTTCAGGTGTGAACTATGTTTGCTGGGTCGCCATGTAAAAAGTGTGTAACTATGGGGGCGCCTGGGCGGCTCAGTCGGTTAAACCTCCGACTCTTGGTTTTGGCTCAGATCATGATCTCAGGGTCGTGGGATCCAGCCCCATGTGGGGCTCCACGCTCAGCATGGAGTCTGCTTAAGACTCCCTCTCCCTCTGCCCCTCCCCGCCTGTGCGCTCTCTCTCATTCTCTCTCTCTCAAAATAAATAAGTAAATCTTTTTTTTTTAAAGTGTGGGACTACGGAAACCTGTTGACTCTGTAATATGTTATTAATATTTACAACCACTGGGGGGAAAAAAAGGCCCTGATTTGCAGAATCTGCCGATTTCAGTGGGGTGACTACTCCCACATGGCCAATTTCCAGGTCCTGGTATGACCCAGAGTTGGGAAGAGAGAAGCAGCTCTGCTCAGGTGAGCTGGTACGACCTAGCTCTCACATACACCCCTGGATGGCCTTATCTTCACCCAAACCCAGTGCCTCTCTGGATGCAATCTCTGGATTCGCCTGCCCACCAGGCCCTCGGTTAGTGACAGCTCTCCACTCGAAACCTTCTCAGGCACCAGGCCTTGTGGAGTCTCCTACTTTTCTGTGGGGTCTTGTCTTTCTCTTGCCCTTCAGGTCATTTTCCAAGGTTCAATCCTGCTCTTCCATTTTTCCCCTGTAGTCACTAAGTATTCACGCATTTGTCGATTCTCCGGGAGCAGGTTGATTTAGTCAGACCCAGTGTCCCATCTTCTCCTCAGGCCTTGGTTTTGGATAGTCTAAGGCTTCTCTGTGACTTTTCTCTCCATGATAAATACTCCATAGTTAACTGACAGCAACAAATGAAAGAATAAATTCATCTTTTTCTAGTGCTAGCATTTTTATTGTGTCACCTGGGAAGAACTACAAGAGCTACAAATATATGAAAGCAAAAACCAACCAACGAGGAGGGGTTCCGTTCATGACCTTGAGATGCACACAATTTTTATATTTGTAGTAGGAACAGGACCGGGTATCCCAAACATACACAGTCCCTAGGAAGTATTCATAAGATAGCTAAATTGTCCCCAAAAAAGACACATTTGCCAACTACCTACCTGGAATTATGCATCTATGACTAAGCAATAAGCAAAAGAAATCTCCAAATACTACAAGTATATTTGATAAGCACAAAGACTGACACAAAACCTTTCAATTATTCTCACCACTGTTTAAAAGGAAAAGAATCAGATGGTGAAAATATCAGATTAATGCTTATAAAGGAGAGCCTCTGCTTCAGGTAATTATAAGACAATTCATATGCTTTGGTCGTTTTTTTTTTTCCTTTTCTATTACTAACTGTCAGAATTCAGAACTGCATTAACCTTGGACCACTGAGAAGAGATTGTATAATTAGAAAACTGTATTTTTCAAATTCCCTCTTACCAGGACTTGATTAATCCTTACTGTCTCAGGTAGGCGGTTCTCTAGAAGTTTGACAAATTAACAGGATATATTCCATCCTGGCTAGATTTAAGAGATTCAACATTTTACAGATTTGACTTTCATCTCATTTGATACAAGACTAAGACAACATCTATTTTAGATAGTACTATTATTAAGGTTACTTAAATAGGTTTTTTTAAAGAAAAAAAAAACCTGAATAATGCTAAACAAACGTTAATTGCAGTACAAAGAATTCAGCGGTAATAGCGAGGCTCCACCCTCACCTCCCGTGCACTCCTGGGCCAGGATGGGAAATACTGGGCCTGATAAAATTTGGAGTCAGGAAAACTAAGCTTCTCTTCTAGTTAAAGAAACTCTCCAGGGGCCCCTGGGTGGCTCAGTCGTTAAGCGTCTGCCTTCGGCTCAGGTCATGATCCCAGGGTCCTGGGATCGAGCCCCGCATCGGGCTCCCTGCTC